TGGCTTCAATGTTCGGACAATCGCAGTGCCGGCATTAAGGCTTCGGGCTCAAGGGAGATGGGAATCTGGCGCTTGTTTGTCCAGCCATCCTTCTGTTGCACGGTCGCTCAGAATGAGCCTTGTTCAGAACGGCCCCCTCACGGATAGAAAAGATATTCGGAAAGTGCTCTAAGCATGCAGAAGCTGTACATGGTGGGTGTGGCAATGCTACGCTGCAAATCCTTCTTCAAGGATGTTCAGTGAGGTACTTCTGATGGAAGCCTCAGGAGCGTCTCCTGGGAATCCTGAGCTCAAGCCCCAGATCCAAGACTCCTACTATATACTATTTATTTTATATATATATATATATACTGTATACATATATACTCTATTTAGTAATATATATATACATATATCCTACAGCAGCCTCCTTAGTCGGACTCCCTCAATCATGCAGATCCCAAAACGTCTATATGTAGATGTCTTCACCCCTTTTCGTGTATCTTTTCACCCTGAGTGTACCTGGAGTGCATTACGACAGTGGCTAGCAACCAAGCAAGCAACACAAAAGATCCCAAAATGCAAGGATGAGCTATGCAAGCTTCTGAAAGCCCTCAACCGCCAAAACCCAGCCGAACATCACTGCCGGCCCTGCTACTCGCAGAGGAGCTGCCACCTCTCAGCAACCTCGTTCACCTCCTGGACTTAAACGTCCGAGAGAACAGGCTAAGCCACCTGCCAAGCTTGGCCTCCAACGCGGCACTGGACTCTTGGTGTGCAAGAACTTATTCAGCTATACTGTTTCGCAAGGCGAAGCCCAGTCTGGGCCTATAGAAGGATGTGAGGCACCTGCGTGGCTTCCCGAATCAACTAAGGAATACATAAACGTTGAACAGAACCTCTTGGATAAGTTGCCGCCGCTAGACGGGAATCTCCGCTTGAGGAAGCTTTTCGCCGGTTACAACAGCATATCGGAGGCTCCCGATCTGCGGGAGAACCGTCAGCTGTCTGTGCTCAGCCTGACGCACAACAAGCTGCAAGAGCTGCTTCCTTTGGGCCCGAACCCGTGCTTAAAAGGACTCTTCGTGTCCCACAACCGCCTGAAGACACTGCCGAGCCTTGAAGGAAATCCAGAGCTGATGGTTCTGACTGCCGAGTGGAACTCGCTGGAAAGCTTGCCTCCACTCAACAAGCTCCCGAATCTCCAGATGCTCAAGCTCTTTGGAAATTTTATCAGGAAGCTGCCCAGTCTGGACGCGAGCACCGAGCTGGAGCTCTTGGAAGTCGGAATGAACAAGCTGGTGCAACTCCCCTCCCTGCAAATGGCGGACGCCCTGAGCGTGCTTGGTGCATCGCAGAACGCGTTGCGGGAGCTGCCTCCTTTGAGCCCGAAGGCGAGGCTGGTGTCACTCACTTTGAGCTACAACGAGCTGCGACAGCTGGATCTCCGCCTGCCTCAGTTTCAGTCGCTCTCTTCCGTCGATGCTGATCACAATAAGTTGGAAGAGGTGCGGGGGTTGTTTTCCGTTGCATCCTGCTGTGGTGCACTTTGTAACCGCAGCCACAGCATAGCGGTAGAAGTAGCCGTAGCAGTCGCAGCAGTGGTCATCGTCGCCGTCGCTGTTGTTGTCGTAGTCTCGCAATAATCGTTGTCGTTTAGCCACAAAGACGACGGCTGCGACGACAAGGGCGACGACTACTACTGATCAAGCTGGTTCTGTGCTCTTTCTAGGGATAGTGGAGGATCAGGGATAAACTCCGGCCGCCGAGATATTTCCCGGTGCCGAAAGTAACTAGACACCATACCTGCAGGACTTCACGACTCAAGATCCGAATCTTGCGCAGCAGACTTAGCCTAGATGTACCACGTGCCAGGTCTATGGGTTGGAAAGCCTGGAATCGCTGAAGGAGCTCATTCAGAGTTTAGCATGTTAAGATTCGGCTATTTGGTGCTGCACAATCCTCAGAGCCCAAGAGGACCTCAACGTCGACCCTAGCTTGTGGGATGTTGATGATAGGTATCTACTCAAGGTCCTTATGATAGGGATCCTACCATGTATGCTCTCAATTAGGGTCCCATGCTTTGTGAAGCTCCTAAAAGCTATGAAGGAGCCTGAGATGCCTAAGCATGTGAACTTGCTGCAGCATACCGCCCCGAGACCTTGACAAAAACAGCTGTCGTGCGTGGCAGTTCAACATCAGAGCAGAAGGCAAGTTACTAAATCTACGAAGTATCTTTCGGTGCCACCTCCGCTGCGCAATATTGCGCCAGATTCGAGGTGCTCTTTGCTGTTTGTGAGCGGCGGAAGTGTTGTGAAATGAGAATCGTTTCATGCTGTACTGTCGGGTTCAAGCCTTGCTTAGTCTTCGATGGTACCCAGCTTTGCCTGTCATGGTGCTTGAGCTACCACTGTGAAACGGTACAATAATCAGCCTGCAAACGAGACCATCTGGGAGCCTTCTCAAAACAACAGCAGTGACTGCGGCAAGGGCAAAATGAGCACCGCAGAGGAGCTCAGCTTGGCCAAGAACTTCTTGCAGCAGTTGCCCCCGCTCTCTCGCAATCTGCAGCACTTGGATGTGGGCTACAACCTGCTAGACGAGCTTCCTGGCTTCTTGGATTGCAGGGCCCAGCAGCCCTCAAGTCTCACTGCCCGGAAGCCCCAAGACCGAAGCCCGCAGCCCTTGACAGCGCAATGGCACAAGAGCGGCGCTTTCGAACGCAAATGCTTTGGGGGCCTTTAGGATCCTAAGACTCTGAACAAGTACCAAATCTATTCCTTCGCGTTCCTTTGTTTGATTTTGTTTGGAAAGGGCTGAGGTCCCTAGATTAGGTTTGACTACGCAGGGCATGGGGTGGTTCCTGTGAGGGTTTTCAGTAGAAGCGAGGTATCGAGAAGCATTCTGAGCTGCGGCATCTTAACGTCAACAACAACCAGCTGCAATGGCTCCCAAGCTTGGAGCACTTGACGGATTTAGCTTCGCTGTCTGTGCAGTGCAACAATCTGACCGAGCTTTGGGTATTCAACGCGAGCGAGCACCTGGAGCAGATTTTAGCGAACAATAACTTGCTTTCGTCCCTTGGACCATTGCCACCTTCACTTCAAGTGCTGAATGTGGAATGGAACCGCTTGCACAGGTTGCCTGACCTCGTTGGAAGCCCCAAGCTGGCGCGCCTGAACGTGGCGCACAACCTGCTCGAAGATTTGCCTCCTTTGAATAATCCCGAACTGTACCTGCTCGATGTATTCGGGAATCGTGTCCATGAGCTTCCCCGTTTGGATGCGCTGCCGCGCCTATCTATCCTGGATGCTGGCGGAAACTACTTGCGGGAGCTGCCCCCGCTGCAGAACTTGTCGTCCGATCTTCATGTACTTTGTGTGGGAGACAATCAGCTTGAGGTGCTACCAGACCTTTCTACCATTCGCTTCCTGCAAGTGCTGAGCTGCGAAGGGAATTCCTTTCCGCAGCGTCCTCGGATTCTAGGATGTCCTTGGAAAGTTGTTCTGACCGTTTGTTTTGGTTTTAGAGGCTGTGTTTGCGGATCGAAGGTGAAAGGTGTCGTGGGAGAATCGTGCCGTCCTGGCTTCGGGTTTGGTTTCGGGCAGGCATTCGCGATCATTCGGTTTGGAGCGGCAGCTCATAACCGCTGGGTGCTTTAAGGAACGACTCATCCCGGCAGCCAGCACAAAGATTTCCAAAGTCTCCGCAATTTCCCTTGCCGAAGGAAAACACTGCCTAGGGCTTGGCCGTCAGCTCACCACCCCAACTTGAACCACGCCCTTCAACCACGCAAACGAGTGGGTATCTGAAGCACGTGACCCAGGATTGGCGACTTTGCGAGATGTGACTGCTGCGAAAATGTTTCCTCCAGGCCGAGGCGGCAAGGGAAACAAATCTCGGGACACGAACCGCAGAACCAAACCCCTAATATTGCTCTTGCAATGGAGTCGTACTGTAGTGGGTGGTAGTCGAAGTAGTCGTCTTCAGTCAGCTCTTCTTGCGTCATGGGATTTACGGCTTCGGACTTTGCTCTCTTTCAGGCCTCGTGAGCTGAGATAGCTTCAGGCGAAGAGGGCCACAGAGGCTGACAGCCCAGGAGGCTCTCCTACCACAGACGCACCAGATGTATCCTTCGTACTGGTGCCAAGGAGTGTAAAAGCATGGGCATGCAAACATGCACCGAATCCGCACGCCCGGAGCCGGTCTTATACGCCACCCTTGCAGCACCCGTTTGTTCATGGACTTCCCGGGGGCCCCCTAGCCTGAGCGACCTGCCATCAAAGTGAAGGGTTGCTGTTCTTCAGATCGGACAAATAGATTGACATGTGTTTCTGAGTGCCCTTTTTCTGGGCTGACCTGGGAAGTCTGGGGGCTGTGCCTTCTGTTTTTGGCCGAAGCTGCCTCATGATCCTTCACATGGACAACCAGGCAAGCTGCTTTCCAACATCATGGGTCTCTCTAGCTGCACCTCCCTCCAGACCGCGGCCCACAAATTAATCGCTTAATCCAATCGGGCTCCAACCCAGCAAGTGGCTCGGTAGTTGCTGTCTGTCTAAGAAATCCGTATTCATCGCAGTCATCGGGAGAGACTCTGAACATTGACCTGCCAGGAAATCCTGCCAGCAAAGTACTTCATCTCGGCCTGAGGGTGCTTGTGCACCCTGGGCCCCCAAGCAATCGAAGCGGTCGGCGCGGTTGATAAAGAGAAAGGATCGGCATGTGCCAGCAGAGGTTGGATGCGTACCCCCACTTAGTCGAGCTGCTTGGGCCTGTAGGCTTGACAGAACGACCTTTAGGAAGCTAAAGGTGCGGTGCACCCAATGACCCAAGCAGGCCGGCCTGATCAGGCACATAGGGCCTGAGGTTCGCGACACATACTTTGCAGATAGACTGCCAACTCCGGACCTCCCATCCCTCGCGAGTCACATCCTCAAACTTTCGTCGACCGCTGCTGCTTCCATTCACCCTAAACCCTGAAACCCTAATAAACCCAAAGCCGTAAAACCGTGCAAACCAAGGCTCAGTGTTGATTGGAGATGGTAAAGAAGAGCTGCTACTGGAGCTGAGGAGGTCACGTGAGTTTGGTTGTGAGGGCGCTTGCTTCTCTGCTCAAACCTTGCGGAGGTTGCTTGCAGCATCCAGCGTTCGGCACCGTTCTAAGTCCAAGAGACTCAGGATTCAGATGCCCTGAGAGCACGTCTAAACAAATAAAGCAACTGCCGAGGCTAAGCCGACGGTCTGAGGCTGCGATCGGCGCTTAGGACGTCGGTTCACAGGTTTGGGGTTTGTGTCGAATGCTTAGGGTTGAAGGGTTAAGGGCTAAGCGTTTGGAGGTTTAGGGCGTGAGGCTTCTAGGTTAAGGGTTTAGGAGCAGGATCAGTTTGATGGTAGGTGGAAACTGCATCTCAAGACCATGCAGCCATATGTTTCAGACCCGCTTCGTATGCAATGGTTTGATGTAGATGATGCTTGAGAGTAGACTGATGGATCTTGAAGTGAAGACTTCGGGTCATGATGAGAGGCTAATACCCCACGAGCCGTCGTGCGATAGAATTGCGAAAATTAAAGAAATCGGAATCAATTTAGAAGATATTTCGATATTTGACCGGAATTGAATGAATTGATTTTAAAAAATCGATCTGACAAGAATAAAATATATAAAATATAATAATATGATATATATATATATATTATTCTAATATATTCAAGCCATAGAAGATTATTGAATTACTTATTAGATTCTATTATTAATGATTCCGATTCTAAATATATTTGCATATGAAATTCTATTCTACGAATATAAGATGAAGATTAGAAAATTTTAATATATATATATATGAGAATATATTATTTCAAAGAAAAATTTTTATTGAATATATATATATATTTTAATTGAAATAAAATATTTGCTTTATATTATCTCAAATATGATTCTAATTTGAAAATATAAATTTAAATATATATTTTTTTCTTCATATAAATTCATTATTTTATAAATATTCTTAGAATTGAATTT